TTACAGTCTTTTTCTGATAAGAAGTAACAGCAAGATCATCTTTGCCGTCGGTTCGCAGCCATGACCTTCAGTGTCTGCAACCATCTGGTTACGGAGTCTTTTGGATCTCAACCCGGAAGACTAGAGACACCTACTCTACCTAATCGCTGTGTGCATTTCTTCATACCTCATCTACACGCCGTCTGCTTGCCTCTACGTGGCTTTCTCCAGTCGGCAACTGCCACTGTTTATAAGGGGCGGTCGGTAACCGTGTCCTAACCAACGGAGCCTATTGAGCTGAATTTGATACGACAGCGCGTTCGATGCATTCCCAAACACCCGATAACTAACATCTAGGTTACTAACCCGCTCACTCTGTCCTGCCCACGCCAACTTCAATGAAACGTCACGTAGTCACCACAGGTGTTGTATTCCTGCGTACGCTGCTCGGGCCTTAAATATGCATGTGGTTATCTCCTTTACTGCGCTACCGTCATTGGTCACATGTACGGGAAGCAGTCAACTTCAGCTAATCCCTAACCATCTAGTTTCAGGACGGGATTCGGCGACACCCAATTTCGCAGCATCACTTTGTACTCTGAATTTGCAAGACGCATGACGAACGGAGCAATCGAACTTGCTAATCCGTCAAGTGCTCTTTGTGCATCCTCCTTGCATTCGAATAGGTAAACGATGTCATCAGCCTACTCCAAATCGTACAGCTTTTCTCCAGCTGCTCATTCAATACCAACATTTTGGAGACCACTTAGTGTGAACTCCAGTATTTCGTTTACGACAAAATTGAACAGGAATGGCGAATGACACCCTTGACCAATACCGCGGCTGGTTTTGGAATAATCTACTCTACTTACGCTACCAGAAGTATGCGAGTAGAGCGACCTATATAGGTTCATATACTTTTGCAGCATTCATTTGCGAAGAAGCGAACCTGAATCGAAGGTTGCTTTTAGATCAAGGAACACAACAAACGTCTGTTAACGGTGCGAGTGGATTAGCTTGATGACTTGACGCAGAGTGAAAATTTGATCGATACAACCGCGACCTGGTCGGGATCCTGCTTGTTGTTCGTGGATATTTGTCTCTCCAAACAGTGTCATAGGTCGAAGTATGATGGAGGGTAGTAACTTGGTGACGATTGGGATCAAACTTATTCCACGGTAGTTTGCGCAGTCGTCGTAAGATCCCTTCATAAAAATGGAAGAATCAGTGATTCGCTCCAGGATGATGGAATGCTCTCTTGTGTAATGGAATCTGCGATGAAATCACCTCCCCGCATCTTGAAAAGAGTGGGAGGAAGCCTTCCAGGTTTTGCTGATTTTTCTTTCTTCAGGTGTTGGATGCAATATCGTACTTCTGCTTCAACAGGAGGTTCACTCCACGATGAGACTTTCCCTTGACGTGGTGTGATGGCTTGCGCTCCTCAATGACCCTGCCAGCTATACAGGATGGCTTCTCACAGCCGCAGATCCAATCGTACCTGAAAGGTCAACGGGTAGAGGCCAGACAAAGTTCAGTCTCACAAAGCCAGCTGCTTGGTCACCTCCTGGCTTCCTTTTCTATGCACACGCCCCTGGAGAGGCCACCCAGCATATAAACACGGTGAGGGGCAGTTTACCGGTCAACCCCCCCCTCCCCTAGATGGACGTAGGAGCGAGGTACCTGGGGCTTCCTCTTGACGGTGGGAGAAGTCTTCGCACTTCATTGGACAGCTACCGCCCGCCCAAGCTGGGCAGCCCCCAGCCATTCGGGTGCTGTCCCGTCCACGTTCCGCTTGTCTCATTGGGTGCATGAGGCTAAGGGCTGATCCCGAAAAGCGGACCGATAGTCAACGCACCAGCGAACAAAACAACTCATCGAAATTCAAAGGCCTTGGGTGACGGGTCTCCAGAGGCTCCCACACGGGTGCTTCGTTCACGCTCCGGTGTTGGATTTACGCCCACTGCCCTGTGGGTCAGACTTGAGTCAAAGGCTCCGGTTAGGGTTTCCAAAGAAAAACCCCTTCGTCGGTGTGGGCTACCGCGAATTATGTCGTGCCCTAAAGTCTTAGGCACCTATTTGGACAACCATCTTTCCCATCTGTCTAGTTCTTCTTCTCAATCCCGAATAATACCTTACATCTGCTGTTTACGCCACCCATCGAATATCAGTTGGTGTTTTACAAACAAGGCTAGACAATCAGAAGCTATAGGATTTTTAAAGCCAAAACCCCTTTTTCACTTAACCGCGTTCATTGTTTGCACGCGCTATCAGATTGGCCAACAAGCTTCCCTGGCTTGAGCCCTCAAAACTTTCAATGTAGAAACACGTATACAAAATCTCACTTTCATTATCTCTCTGCGTTCTCCTGATCCAACCTCAATCTC